AGACATCTAGCTAGCTAGCTAGCTGCTAGATAGATAAATAGATACTCTATAAATACAAATATACAAGTGCATACATTATCTTAAGTGCGAAATGATTATAAGTGCCCACCTGCTCCGTTCGTCAGCGAGAAAACAAGCTGTAAATATGCTGCAAAGCAACGGTGATGTTCAAGTAATTCACGGAACAGTTAAGTGACTTCCGTCCGACTGGGTCATCGTTTGCCGGGGACAGCAAGCTGAACCGTTGCAGTAGCAAAGTTAACTTTCGTCCATGTTAATCTCGAAGCCGAGAAAGGTGTTATCCTAGTTAAGTGATCTTGGGCTGTTAACTTCGAAATCAGTCAGCAGATCGACTTACTGTGCTGTACAGACAACAATTTGAAAGGCTTCCATTAACTATCTTACCTATTGTGGCACGACGCGGTGGAATCAGGCTCTCGTCAATTTTGGGGCATGCGGAGTTGATGGTATCATCTTAAGGCCTGTCCATTTTCCTTGTTTTGAGTGAAAATAATGTCCACCTATTCTGAATAGAAGTCGAGATATGTGTTATTGAAGGAGGTGAGGGTCGTCCGGTTTCAGAGGTAAAATTCAAAGTTGAGTTATTTTTCTTGCGTGAGAGTCCGTGGAAACTGAAAATTTACATTTCTTCTGCCTTCAATCAACTTTTCATAAAAATTCACTCAGAAATGTGCTCTTTAATGGATATGAAAACCAAAAAACAAAAATTCGGTTAAATTCCCAAACCTGCAGGAAAATGCCAATTAATTTCTTGACTTTCATTATTTTGACGAGCGCCTGATTCTACTACGCTGCCTCACATATAAAAGCGGTAACCTGATTACTCCAGGCTATCTCCACCTCATCAGTCAGAAGTAAAAGACCTAGGCTTCTGATCTGTAACGAAGAAAGATATAGAAGGTCATTTTTACCATCATCTATCAAAATGCTTTCATCTTAACCATCTTGTATAAGTATACTTACGGCCTTAGAGCATGCATCAAAATAACAATG